TCAGATCATAAAGCGTAGTAGCCACCATTTTGCTGTTATGGATTTCACTTTTGTATATCAGAGCTTTTAGGCATGTGGAGCTCAGTATAAGAATAGGGGGGCATCCTTCATCCTGTGTCTAGTCGTTTCTATCTGATGTCCCACTGCCTCTCTCTCTCCCTCCCGCTCTCTTACTGGCACACTAATGATGTATTGCTGCAAGAGTGAAGCTTAGGACAACAAACTCCTCCCAATTAGTCTGTATAGACTACAACTCTGGCCAGATCTGGACACTAGCAGGCCACAATCAGTGTAAATCAGCGCCAGCAAGAAAAATAATGGCACATGGTCTGAGCAGAAACATATACAGAATACTGATTCCTCTGCTTTTAGGGGCATTTGGAGCTTCAGCTTCAAGGGCTGGTGCCAATTACAGACACGATATAAATAACATTTTCAACTATAGTGTTGGTTTAAAATGGTGTCTTGAGCGTACCTTTGACATGATGCATTCAAAACTGTTATACAATCATGGAAATAAAATATAAATGAGGACAGTACTAAGCATATTATAAATCACCTTGTAGACCTTGAAGAGATTTTTGACTTTGCACTGATATTATTCACTGTAACCCATATTTGTTCTGACTTTGTCTAAGTTATAAAGGATAATATTACTTGAAAAAAAGCCAAGTATATTTTCTATTTATTTAATCTTCCTGGTTAAATAAAATCATGGCAAATGATTTAACATCTGTTTTTGTGCAGTATGTTTTAAATAAAATACAAATAAAACGTTTCATCTGATATTCTGAGCATTGTAATAGGTGGAATAATAACCTTGGTACTTTCAGATATTATAATTATACTCTGATATTTCAGCATATGATACATGTGTAACTGGAAAAAAAATCATATAGAGTGATTACCACACTAAAACATAGAATTAGAGAGTTTGATTTCATCCTTGTGTGGTTTTGTCTGAAAATAGTGGCAGCTTGTGGTGCACAGTTACTCAGTAGGACACTTACTGTGCATCTACTGGGCTTTTTAAAGCATGAACATGTGTATTGTGGACATGAAGATATAGTAATATAGTGCCATATCTGCAGGTTTGCATGCAGTTAAGCAGACAGGGAGGAGTCTTTTATGTATGATGATAAATGTGTAGTTAATTCATTTTCTCTTTTATTTTTCAATCAACCCAGAAAATAGTATTGGGATTTACAGCTAATCTTAATCAGCAATAGATTATGGGCCCACCATTATTGTCACTGATCAGCAATATAACAAGAGAGGGAGAGCTTTGCAAACCAAGAGCTTATAGTGGATAAAACACAGGGCTTACTAGTGGAAAAAACAAAAACACCAAAGCAGAAAGGCAAAAGAAAACAGCAAGCATTCTCAGTGGAATACATTACCAGGACAGCAGAGGCATGCTTCGGATAAACCCTTCAGATGCCTTCAGTGTCCTTCTGACTTTCAGCTCATCTCCAAAGAGACATGCTGTGTGCCAGAGAGCATTCATCAAAATAGACCAGAGAGAAAACAATGTGAAAACTCACGGCTCTCTATAGAGACGTGCCGACAGGTTATCACAGAGCTGGTGTCGCTTGCTCGAGAGCAGAGGGACATCAGCACACAGCATCTTGTCCAAAGAACAGACCTTCCCTCCCACCCACCCCGTCCCCGCACTAGCCAGAATTAAGTGGGGAGCACATGCATTCTGGTGAGAAGTGTACAAATGTAGTGCAGTATAATAAAGCCACCTGCTCCATGCAGTAGCTATTAGAGAGCGGCAGTGCCATGTAGTCGAACATTTAGCTGGGAACAGATGAGTGTTTGTAGGGTTGCAGATAAACTGGTGTTCAGCAGAAATGGAACTGCTGACCGAGCTTTAGGGGCAGCATGTAGAACACGACTTGGACATTTCATTTAGGAGAGCCATTATTAATCCTTAGAGATTAAAAACCAGCAAGACAGTGCTAAAGAAAACATCAGGGCACCTTTGACTGAGTCAGGCTGGAATTTCTTGGTCCACATACTCTTTGATGGTTCAATCAGGGCATGAGGCAGGGTCACTCAATACCTTTACTTCACCATAAGGCACAGTATGCTAAGATTTATTTTTCCTTGTGTCTTTGTATATGTGGTCTCCCTGATGGCACTGTACTTATAAACCATGAACATTTTCATACATTTTGGGTGAGCACTAAAAGAAGGTTTCTCTTTTACAGTATCTCTTTATCTTCCACTGTATTTCAGTATTCCCAACCATCTCCCCAGGTTTTCTTAGTACATCTCATAGGAGTGTACTCTCTGCTGCTCTGAGCCGAGGCAGATAAATGAGCTGTGCTGTACAGTAGGTTCACCACGGCTTCAGCACTTTACTGCTAAATTAATGATGCTTTGCAAGCCCTGAGCTTTTGCTTTTAGCATATTAGAAGTAAATTCATAGAATGAGCTACAGGTACATCGTGTTTATACGCCTATCTCTCGGTGCATCTTTCCTGTGTGCATGAGGTTCTTTTGCATCAGTAAACCTGACTCTGCGGAGCTAATAAACATACAGAAAAACTTCAGAAAAGATGTGGAAACCTTTTATGTTTAACTCAGAATCATTTCAGTGTCAAAATGATCACATGCATATCCTGTGTTATTTAAGACATCTCCCTTTGAAAAGTTCTCCTGGGATTTCAGTGTCCTTTTCTGGTACCCCAGACACGCTAGCTGTCACTTTTCATCAGTGGGTAAATTGCATGGTAAGCCCCTCACATAGTCCACATTGAATTGACATGGATGAAAAAGAAGCTGAGCATCGGAGAAGGACACCATGAATCTATAATGTTATTGGATTTCAACCAGGGCATGACCACACCAAAATGTTGACCTACACAGTAATCCTGAATGGCAGGCTGATACTTAGTAACGTGAAGTAATTTCATTGTTGATTCAGAGGCATACATCTACTACAAACACAAGATTTATTTAAAAATGTACCATAGGTTTGGTATTTTGATAGGATTAGATTAGATGTATTTTAAGAGCACGACTGAGCTACAGTTACACAGACCTACACGCAGCCTTCGCCCTTGGAGGGTAAAATGAGTATGACATCATAATTCCCTATCACTTATTTTAGCATCAAGTCAGACCTATGATATAATCCATGTACTATATCTTTGATATAACTCAAACTATGCTGCAGTATTTTACAAGCAAAACAAAAAATGATGAATCATAGTTTAAACTTGTATATTCATCTCATAAACAACTGGATTCAGTGTTTATTTAATTATAAAACCAATGATTCCCTTGAAAAGATTAAAAAAAATGTCACATTCACTTTTAGATTTCATTTTGGAGTTGGAATGCCTCGTGCTGTAGCTTCCTGAAATGAATGAGAAATCAGAAACTTAAAAGTGAATAGGCATATATCTCCACTCAGATTATTCTACAGGGCATTTCACCTATAAATGGTACACGTCACACTGCTTCATCCTCTCTGCTTGCAAATACTGTAAATCTGAGGGACAGTGTCAAAGGGAAAGTGCGGATGTGAGCGGTAGAGAGAAAGAGAAAGAATGAGAGTGATAAGGTGGGAAGAAGAGAGAGGGAGTATTGATCCTTTGGTTCCCGTACCTCTGCCAGTGAGTGCAGAGTGTCAAGATCTCCCGCCAGGAAAAACAAATCACAAGGCCAGAATGATGGATGTGGCACTCCAGGATTCAGCGGTTCTGCCATCTGGATGGCCTACACTGTATATCAGCCTCATGCACAGCAAATTAAATTTACATTTGGACGGCTTCCCCGGGCCTCACCCGGCACAGATGCACTGAAAACAGCCCTACACCACAACTCCCTTAATGGTTTTGATCTATCATTTCCAGGTTTATTATGTAAAGATGATGTTGGTCCATGTTCAGAATGTCAAAATGATCTTACAGTCACAATAAAATCACATAATGTGCAGCCAAATGGATGTTAAGCAAAATGGCATCACCTTTAATTTCCTTAGATGAGTCAATACTAATCCAACTTGCAGAAATATTTGGATGTATAGTCAAACATCAGTAAAACAATAGCACAAATTCAATCAAATCCATGGGGCCTTCTTCATTTGGGGGGGCACTTGCATTTCATACCCCTTTTTCCTTTGTATTGTGTGCCTGCCATGCATACCCCAGAGTATGAAAGACAAAGTACCATAAATATTGTCAGACATGCATTTGAGGGTTTAAAATAGTAGTACAAAAAAAGGCTAGATATATAGTGGCAGGTGCCCCATAACCAAAATCTAACCTGAAGAGGCTGGCGTGCCTAAAAGAAATGACCTTTAGCTCTGAGCTGATCAAATGGCCTGAAGCAAGGCTACAGAAGAACATTGCAGTATAATGTTTTACAGTGTATTTTTCTGGTCTTTTGCTTGCCCTTTTCCCATTTTCCAAGAGATTAAAATGTATCATGTTTGGCAGGTGTGTACGTGCTTTGAAAACAGTCTAAGATGGATTTGATATTAGAGTAGATGTGGCATGCTTGTTTGTAAAAAGAGATGCCGAATTTCTCAGAAAGAAATAAGAAACATACTGACTGAAACCATTGTTTCTCTCTCACTTAAGAAGCTTCCATAGCTAGCTGTCCTCTAAATGCCAGAGGTGTTTTGTGATGCCTCTTAACAATTCCTTGAAGGTCTATGCAAAGCCACAAACTACAGCACAAACTGTGCATGCAAGTTGACAATTCTGGTGTGAACTTTAGCCTCAACTGTTCCTCAATAGTCAGATCTCATGCCCTTAAGGATAGTGTTGCCTGAAAAGCAGTGCAGCAGCTGCTACAGCGCCAGGCAGGATGTGACCGTGTTGACAGAAAAACCCAGCCGCCGAACTCTGTAGCTGTCTGCTCCTTAACACAGCCCTCCAGAAAAACAGCTATTGGTATTTCTGAGTGGGAGCCATCTTACCCTTTTGATGTAGCTAAGCATTTCAAGCCCTCACCACTCTACTGTGCCTCTCTCTTTTCAGACAACCGATGACTTTCTGGTTGCCTCAGCCGAGTGTCCGAGTGACGATGAGGACATTGATCCCTGTGAGCCGAGCTCAGGTGGGTTAGGTTAGTCATCTCTTTTTTTATTCTACTTCTCTCTGGGTGTGTCAGTGTGTCTCTCTGTGTGTCATAGTCCACCCCCGCCAAGACACTCTAGGCTAACACAATGTTTAGAAGAGCAGATTAGAGTTTTAGTTATAGCTTGGAAACTTTGCAGGGGCAGTGTTGCTCTTTTCTGGCGACTGAATCCATTAGGTCTGTTCTCAAAATCTGAGTGTGGCTTTGCTGGTTCATATATTTTACTGTGTAGGAATGCAATGATAATAATAAATTCAGTAAAAGTTATAAAATGCTATAACTTGTTATGTTACTTGTTTATGACCATAATAATTATGGTCTGTTAAAATAAGCTGTCTTAGTCCACAGTGAACAGTTTGAACTTGGAACGGCAGCTGGATAACTTTTTATCTCCACTAGCTTTAAAGCAACAGTTCAACATTTTGAGCAATATGCATTTTTTTTTTTTGGTTTGTTTGTTTTGTTTTGCTGCTGTGGGAGTTTGATAAGTCAATACCACTCCAGCCAAGTGTCAGCTAGTTTAACTTAACATAAAAACTGGAAACAGGAAGAAACTAAATCTAGTTGTCATTAGTTCTAAAACTTAATAATTAATTTGTTATTTACCTTGTAACCTTTTTTTTTCCTACACACTTTTTGGGCTAGGTGGTATCCCTATTTTAAGTCTTTAACCTAACCTACCTTAACTGGCTGATGGTTCTAGCCTTATACAGAATGTGAAGGTATGTCATGTTGTGTTGAATGTTGGGATGAGGGTGCCATTTTGGGAGGGAGGAGCTGTGGTCAATAACAATTCCTGTCCTGTCTGTGCTCAAACTGAACACTAAAGTGGACGTTTGGATGTAGTTGAAGCATCCACTGCTGTATGTAGCTGTATGGGATAATATTTATATTTTATGTTAATTTATAGATGTATGTAGTGTATATCTCTATGATGGATAATGAATGTGATCCCCCAAAACGGCGCCTTTACTCAGAATTCAAAATGGCTGAACAACAACTTCACATTCTCTATATTTACCCTTCAGTATCTACCTAACTCTCCACAATAAATTGATTTACCCAAAACACCAAAATTTTTTTTTTTATGTGATAAAGTGCATTTATTCTTAGTTAGCAGCAAGACATTTGGACATAGTGATATTAGTTTCCTGTTTTGTTTTTCACAGCTGCCGTTCGAGATTGCATGCTTACCTATAACTCGACACTGCTTAAGGTCTTTTGCATGTGTCAGAGCAGCTGTGTTTTTAATTGTGCACTTATTGGTCTTCATCAGCTTGCAGCATTTGTTAATGCACAAACAGAGGAGTTCTCAAAAAAACAGAACAATACACAATTCAAGTGATCAGACCCATATGACTCTAACACACAACATAAAGGAGGGTAACCCCAGAGAGCAGTGTGTGAGGCTGATTGTTACACAGATGTGCAGAAGTTCCCCACTGTTGTTAGTTCAATTCTACAGCAAGCGATCTTGTTGTTTCTCCTGGGCTGCTGTTCATGGCAGCTGCACGTAACAGCCCTTACAGATTGTTCAGTTTATACATATGGCACATATCAAGTGGTTCTCTTCATAAAGCAAACACACATATTTTGGTCTATAATTGTACCTGTGTGTTCAAGAGCCTTCATAAGTTTAAAATAAAAAAGAAGCATTTAAAAGTGTTTGAAAATATTGCTTTTATTATCTGTTTAGCTCCGACAAACTGGGATTATAAATCTGTTTGTTCCCTGCAATGCTGTCAAACTTTTAATCTCTTACCTTTCCACACATACTGTAGAATGCAATTAAGTCTAACCCCAGTGCCTGCCTATGAACAGAAGGATTTTCAAATGTATTCTGAAATGATGAGAAGCACAGAGAACAATTAAGTCCAGACCCAAGGCCTTCCTCTCCATCTATATGCTATTGATCAGTATGTGGTCATAAAACCTCCACTAAATTAATGTCTGCCCCACAGCAACGACTATCAACTTTCTAGTCTGTCTCTCTTCCTGTTCTTCCTGTTCCTCCAGCCTTCCACTACCAAGATTAGCTTTTGTCACAGTTACTCTCTTCCTATCACTCTCATACTGCACACTTTGATATTCCCATTGGGCAGCATCACAATAGGTTCTTTCATTGTACTTCTGCTACTCTACACAGGAGATTGGTCTGAGTACTCATTCACACTAACAGCTTGCATTATGATGTTTTTTGACAAGGGCATCTGCCAAAACATCATTCGCAAACTGTGTGATCATCAATGGCATGCAATCCCAGAGCAGAGTATCCCTCTCTTTCCATGTTCACAGAAGGGGATTTGACACCAGAGCTGTGGGCTCCCAGGGCGGCATCTGTCTAACACTGTATCCTGATTAATATCTACATTCAGAGCGATGCACATGCCAAGCACTCACCACATCTCAGGTGGTGCTGCTGCATATAAAGAAAGGGATCCGCTGATAAAAACCTACTTTTTCATATTACAGCCAACTCCTTTTAATCACACCAATAATATATCATTCTTCATGCAACACCTTCACAGTCTGTTCTGTCTCCCAACTCATAGGCAGACCACATGCTCACACTTTTGCTCTCTCTCTCTTTCTGTCTTGTGCTCACATGTATACTGTAGGATAATGTTAGTACATAAGTGATCCCAAGAGGTGAGCTTTAAAACAAACTATTATGTGAGCTATCTAAGGCCCAAGGTCAGCTCTAGGTCATTGTGTGTACCACTGTATATCACACCAGTCCCTATCAGCCACTGAGTGACATCAGGGTAAACTCACTTATTGCCATGCTTTATTTCTCTTACCTCTGGAAATCATGGAAAGCCAGCGGCACCAACAGAGCTTATCACCTGGCAGGACTCAGATTATATCATACTGCAACAAATTGAATCCTCCTCCCTCCCCCGGTTCAAGACACCACGGAGGGATATACAGGCCCATGATGCTGGAACACATCTGATCTGTAATAGGAAGCTGGTTTAGGGAGTGTGCATATACTCAGCAGCAGGGCTTTGACAGCTGAATATCACTGTATCTATGATTACACGTACACATTAATGCACCTAGTATCTTTGATGCCCATTGTGAAAACTGTTAAGCACAATAAAATGCGCCAAGCGCTTAACTAGCTCACCTTTTTAGACAGAAAAGCAACAAAGGTTATGCAGATATTCTGCATAATAACCTAACATGAGGGGTAATTTAACAGTATAAATTGTGACAGTTGGGTTAAAAGAGTCCAACACCACCCACCCCACCCCCCAAAAAATGTAATATGATTGCTCATTGCTCAGACTAGTATGAAGTGCTGGCCAATCAAATGGAGGGAATATAGATGTGGTCTTAGTTATGTGAAAATATAGCCTGGTGAACATTTTGTCAAGATAGCGTCTGGTGCTGATTTTCAAGTACCAGCTGCAGTTTTCATGGTGAAAGTTAATGGAACAGGTTGTTGCTGAGCTGCAGGGGGGTCAGAGAGAACGGATGTCTCTTATACCTGCTTCAATTCTTTGGCATCATGCACGCTGTTGATGGAGGGCAGCTGCTGCACACGGCGACCCACGTCCAAGGTTAAATCCTGCAACTGCTTTTGTCCCTCTTCGTTTGGTCTTTTTCTTTTGAGTGCACTTGCTTTTGCTGCTAGTTCAAATTAATCAAATTCTAGTCACCGAATCCGAGTGAAATTGAGCTTTTTAAACAAGAATTCCACATATCACTTTATTATTACTTTTGCACTCTGTTAATGGAATTGTCAGACATTTTGCAAAATGTGCCTATGAGCTTTCTGGCAGAAAGTGAGATGGGAAGACTAATTGCTGTTTCATGTCTGTACAGTAAATATGAAGCTATTATGAGCAGCTGGTTCACTCACCTTAGGGTAAAGACAGGAAACAGGGCATAACAGCTTGCCTGGCTCTGTCCAACAGTTACAAAATCCATCTGTCAGTACTTCTAAAGCTCATTAATCATAATGTTATAACTTGTTTGTTTAATCTGTTTAAAAACTGAGGTTTAAAAAGACAACTTTCCCTTTTAGCTGGCTAACTAGCCAGCCAGCTGTTTCTCTCTGTTTTTAATAATATTGCTTATCCAAGCTAACCTAGTCAACGGTTGTAGCTTCGTATGAACTAATCAGATACAAGAGTGGAATTGTTTCATCCAGGACCCAGCTCACACTACGTGTCATACAAGACCTGATTGGGATGAAATTTGGCCCAATTCTAAAATTAGTTGGTGGCAAATGAATCAGGGCTAAAATTGGGCCAAATTTGTACAGTGACCCCTTGTCTTAAGCTTGCTGGTGGAACAGCTGACAAAGTTCTGCCACTGGAAGGGTCCTATGGATTGTATTCTAAGGTAGGGACAATTGGCATAAAATAGGCCTATCCCATATTGTGGACAGAATCAACTGCAATGAGGCTAATCAGACTCTGGTAACAACCCTGTACCAATGCTCATTAGAACTTTACTTTGACTGACAGAAACGTGAGAAACACTGGCAGGAGATTATCACTGTTCTTCAGCTATACACAATAAAAAGGCTAAAAATAATGCTGCTTTTTCTGTTTGTTGACATCAGCTTTGAGGATGCAGCATTCCTGTTTGAACAGAACTTTACTGAAACTGTTAATGAATACACCCCTTTAGCGTTCTGTTTAAACATTCATTGTGAGCCCTCACATTGTGCCGGGTTGAGCAAATGTACAGTGTGAGCACAAAAGCCACAGATTCAGGCTGTGTGGAAAGGCAAATTAAAATGTATAGTGTGAGTTAACACATTGTACATGATCAATACAAATCACATCATGTCTGCCCAGCTTTACTGTACCTTCATAGTTATGGAAATATATGTTTACGATTCAAATAAATATGGAGTTAATTGGTCATGAATAAAACACACACTGGAAAGGAACACCAGTCTAGAGGGTGGATACCCAAACCGGGCCCAATGGGACCTCTTTGTCCCTGAGGGTTCAGGGAAT